AATGAGATGTGGAGATAAGAGATTCATTACTCATGGGAAGATAATTTAATGCCTTACTTAATACTATTCTAGAGTGATCTGAAGTTTCTCCATTAAGTGTGTACTAAATACAATAAAAACAGTTTATGAAAACTGGGGGCTTATAACACTGGCGTCCAAAAGGCAATTCTCTCAGTCCTGAAATCATGAAACCACTCTGGAGGGCCATTCATTCAGTTGTGGCTTCTCCAAAAACCATGGCTAATCTGTGGCTGTGGCTGTGTTTAGGGGTTGTACCTCACCTGGACAGGTTCTCCATCACGCCAGACAAGGCTTTCTCCATCACTTTCCCAGCAAAGATGGACTTCCTGGCCCACCCATGCTTCGGGGATGACCAGTTCTACCCGGAACCAGCAGGTCCACCATCTGTAAGAGAGCTATCGTGATGGGCCTAGGAGTGGAAGCCCTGTTCTTGAATTAAATGTCAGCAGGGCCTTAAGACTTTCTCCATGCATCTGCAGCATCACAAGGTACTCAGCTTTGAGCCACCGGAACGGAGAATTGGGGAAGAACAAAGACCCAAGGGAAAGATCATTCACCTAGAGAGGGAAAGGGACAGAGGCGGCAGGGATGAAAATACTCAGGTGAAGACATCAAAGGATGAAGGCGATTCTCCCGGCAGAGGGCGCTACTCTCTGCCATACAGCAGTCCAGGGCCCAAGACAATGAGGCGTGGCTTTGGTGAGCAGGAATGAGAGGGGCGGGGCTTCTCCAAGCTGGGTGTTACCCACGTGGGTCCGAAGCTGTCGCCGACCTGCGCAGGGCTGAAGTTCTTCTGCACCGCTTCCTCATAGGGGATCCTCTCCCGCTTTAGGAAGCTGGACAGTGTCACCGGGCAGCTGTCCCCGAAGAGCCTGGGCAGGAAGAGCCAATGGGCGCGTGCTTGAAGCCGCCGCCTTTTCACCCGTGAGCCAGCCGACGGGTCGGAAAACTCTCTTCTCAATTTAACACCTTGCGGATTGCCTGGCAGCTCCGCAGCACAAACCGCCCTCTACCCACTGCTCCCCAGCCCCTGCCTTGTCCGCGACGGGCACTTTGTTCCGCGGCCCGGGTGGCCACAAGCCTGGGTTTCCCTCCGGAAGGGAAGGGATGAGCGCGCGGATGCGGTTTGCGGCTGCGCAGCCCAGGGGCCACACCTGCCGCGGAGGTTACAGTCGGTGAAGTAGATCGGAGACACGAACTTCTCCACCCGCTCAAAAGTAGTCCGCCAATGCTTCAAGAACGGCGCCGCGGCCATGGCGATGCACCCACTTCTCTCCCCGGAAGATCCTTGGTGCTGCCGGCTCGCTGCACTGCCTGGAACCAAAGGTTCCGGCTTTCGACCAGCGCGATCCTAACCCGAGCAGCTTTTCTTGGGACACCAGCGGCTTTTGCAAGGTGCTGGCTTTGGGGAGCCATCCTGGTGAGACCCAGAAGCTGCACTGTAGTGGTATTCTATTGGTTACATCTACACTGCACCTTCGCAGTTTTCATCTCATCCCAGCTGTCAAGACAGCTGGGTAAATTATCCTTAAATAAAATGATAGGTTTGAGCTGGTGATGTGGTTCGGTACGGAGAATGCTTGTCTAGGATGCACGAAGCCCCGGATTCGTGGAGGCGGGGAGTGTAAATTGAAGGATATCCGCAGCAACATAGCGATTTGAGGACAGCCTGGGCTACTTAAGATTCTGAAGGGCGAGGAATATGGATAGGATCTCTGGAAGGTCCCAGAAAAGATTTAGGGCTAAGCAAGAGTTAATTTGCTTTCCAGTCGCTTTACGTAACACAAGCACTAGTGTCTCTTTGCCCAGCTCAGTCCTTCCATGCGCTGGGTGGGACCATACTGCCTCCTCTGATCCCAGGGCACTCCGTTCTGTGCCTGCACGTGTGTCTCTTTTTCCGGTTTGCTCCATCGTGGTGCAGGGTAGGACCATACTGCCTCCTCTGAGCCTGGGGCACTCTGCCCTGGGTCTGTGTCTATTTCTCTTTACCCAGGTCAGTTCATTGATGCACTGGGCAAGACCACACTGCCTCCTCTGATCCCAGGGCACTCCATTCTGGGCCTGCACGTGTGTCTCTTTTCCCGGTTCGCTCCATCGTGGTGCAGGGCAGGACCACACTGCCTCCTGAGAGCCCAGGGCACTCCACTCTGGGCCTGCATGTGTGTCTCTTTTCCCTGTTTAGTTCTTGGTGGCATAAGGCAAGATCATGCTACCTCCTTGGAGCCAGGGCACTTCACCCCGGCCTGCATATGTGTCTCTTTGCTCCATTAGTCCGTTGAGGTGATGGGCAGGATCATGCTTCCTCCCCGATGCCTGTGGCACACCACCTGCCTGCATGTGCGCCTCTTTGCCCAGATCATTCTGTCCATGTGCTGGGTAGGACCATACTGCCTCCTCTGAGCCTGGAACACTCAGCTCTGGGCCTGCATATGTGTCTCCTTTCCATGTTCAGTCTTTCGTGGCACAGGGAAGCACCATGCTTCCTCCTTGGAACCCGGGGCACTGAGCCCCAGACCTGTGTTTCTCTTTTCCCTGCTCAGTCCACTGTGGAGTTTGGCAGGACCTTGATTCCTCCTGGGAGCCCAGGTCATTCTGCCCAGTCTCGTGTGTGTGTCTCTTTTCCCTGTTCAGTCCTTGGTGACACCGGGCTGTAGGACATTTCTTTCCCACCCACCAGTTGCCAAATCATCAACACAGAAACTACGTATGAATTACAAATGCTTGTCCAATAACTCAGGCTTGTTACTAACTAACTTACACGTAAATTAACCCATATTTCTTTGACTTGTGGCTTATGGCTTGTTACCTCTTTTTTTTTTTTTTTTTTTTCTTTTTTTTTTACACATCCTGCTTTCTGTGCAGCTGGTAGCAGCTCTCTCTGACTCTGCCCTTCCTCATCCCATCA